GTACATACACACAATCTGTGAGTTAATACATGCCAAGCTTGATGTCTTCCCCCTATAAAAGTAGAACCAAGGGAGGAAAAGAAATGAAAGTAGGACTAGGATTCTAAACAGATTTTGTAGCACTTCATTTCTGCTTTCTTAAATACCTTTCCTTTGGTCTTTATCTCCTCTTTGGCAGCATCCCAGGACACTGATGACTTCTCCCAGGTCATATCTGTCTTGACCATCTTTCCCCACCTAGCTCAGGAAGCTTTCCTCCCTTCTATCTTTCCAGGAATCTCACCTTATTTTCCATATTCTTTTTGGTTAACTGGTTATAAGGTGTTTTCCCCAGCTACACCCTGTCTAAACTTGCAGCTCCCCGTGACTCACTCTCTTCTTAATTGCTTCTACTGTATTTGTTCCATTGCGTGTGTTGTGTTGTCACCATTCACTTGACTACATATCTGTTCTCATCATAGTTGTCAGGCATATGGTATCATGGGAAAGGCATTTTGTATTGGGATTTAGTCTTAGATTTATTTCTGACAATGCTGTTTATTTTCTCAATAATACATGATAGTATGGATCCTCCACTGATCGCATTCCTACGGCAGGATTAGGCAGAAACGTCCTCAATAAATCCTTACTTGATTGAAGAATAATCACTGAAAGAAATGCAGGTTGATTGGTACCAGTGAGGGTCTTGGCAGGAAGAGAAGCAAATAAATGCCATTCTGGACGATGGGAAGACTGAATCCATTGTGGAGTAGGCAAAATAAATGATGGTAGGGTTGTGTGTCCTGGGATAACAGGGAACCCACAGGCTTCCTTTTTCAGATTGAAGAAGCAGAAGATTCTCGTGCTGCAGACAGCAATCTTCGAGCAGGGGTCCTGGTGGAGACTCAGAGGGGAGCAGAGGTGGGCGGGAGGAGGGCAGTCTGGGCATGTTCCTCTTGAGAAAGCTCCTGAGGGAATTCTGACACAGTCTGTGGGCTGGGAGCCATTGTTCAGTGCTTGGGATATAGTAGGTGTTTAATAAACATTGATTGACTATCAGACTGGCTCAGAGAAATCAGGTAGCCCAGCACAGGTTGGTACTTTCCACACGTCTGAGAAGTGATATTGTCCCTCCTCAGCAGTGGGAAGAAGCTGGGCAGAAAGGCTGAGTGTGGTGCAAAGTTGTTACTTTGGTTTTTCTTTTATGAAAAAAGGAAAGAAAGGAAAAAGAGTTCCTAACATGTCACATCCATCTGTGTTACAATCAAAAGCAGCAAGACATCTCACAACAAAATATGTTGTATAATTGGATTACTATTATTGTGTGTTAGCTATTGCTGTGTAAAGAAATAACCTCCAAAACTTTGTGGCTAGGAACAACATGTGATTATTATTGCTTTTGAGTCGACACAGGTCAGTGAGGTGGTTCTTTCTGGATATCTCAGCTGGCACATTCATGCATCTCTGGTTGGCCATGGGTTGGGTGGGCAGCCCTGCTGACCTGGGATGAACTCTCTTGCACATTTGGGGGTTGGCTGGCTTGAGGCTGGCCTTGGCTTGGATGACTGGTTCTCCTCCACATGGTCTCTCATCCTAGAGACCAGGCGAGACCGGGCTTGTTTACAAGGCAGTATCAGGATTGCAAGAGAGCGAGCAGAAGTACACAAGTTCTCTTGAGGCCTAGACTCGGACCTGGCGCATTCTGTTAGCTGAAGCAAGTTCCAAAGCTAGCCCAGATTTAAAAGATGGGGAAACAGACAACACCTCTTGGTGGGTGAGACTGCAAAGTCACCTTGCAGAGAATATGGGTAGAGCGAGGGGTGAAGAAATGCAGCACAGCTATTTGTACAATCACGACCCATATTACTGACCCTGAGCTGTACGCTGTTTCTGTCCTTGGTCAACGCTGATTCTACTCTTTTGGAAGGAAGGAGCATGTCTGGTTTTTGGAGCTTTGGAGCAGTTAATGCATGCAATATGCAAATAAATAAGGGTAAACTTTTCCAGGTTGTACTAAGCAATAGGTCTACATGGCATCAGAGGGTAGTGGTCCCTGTTTATTTTTGTGACTCAAGTGTTTTCTTTTAAGTCTTGAAATACAATTTATTAACTGTAAAGGTTCCCTTTTATTTCTTCGTTGAATTCAGCAGGAAGCTTGCTATGAAATGTTCTTTGCAGGCTGACTGTCACACTGGAGTCCTTCACTGTCTCTTGATCTAAAATAGTCTGCTTTCTGAAGCTGCGAAGGACAGATTAGAGCAAGAATATAATTTTACATAGTCAAAGAATATGTGTTTCTCTTATAATGCAATGTTTCAAGACTTTATTCCCTCTCTGGGATTTTTCCTTTTTTTTAAATCTTCATCTCTAAACTAGAATTAACCTCCTTGATTAGGGTTTTTGCAACCCAATGCTTCCTCTGCGTTCCAGAACTCTGAGTGGCCTACATTTTTCCATCTTTAATAAACAGTCTTGCCCTTGAATGAAACACTGCTTCTTACATGTCAGTATTATTCACTCACTCGCTCATATTAAAGAATGCCTGCCCTCTTGTGTCCATAGAGGTTGCTACAATAAGAGTGAATTAGCAAGTTCATCATGCCGGCAGGCAGTACAGCATCCCACCCTGTGGGGATTTTCTACCAGAGAGCTGGCTCAAGGCTGCCAAGTATGGTTGTACAGTTTGAACACTGCAAAACAACCCCAGCCCAAAAGATGAATGAATGGTCATTGAAATCCATCCCACACTTTGCTTGACAAGCCCTGTATCCGATGTCCAGGCTGTATCTTCCCAGAAGGGTTGCCCATTAAAATTTCATTCAAGGATGCTATCCATTCATCAAACCTTGGACCACCTGCAGTGTGCAACGTTCTTTCATTTATACAAACCTCTGTCTAGGTTGATGGCAGACTTGTGGAGGCTCATTATGCATTAGTTGAACACTGCTGTCATCGTGTAACTTTCCTACTCAGAAATTTCCAGAAATTAGAATTGGACTGTCAGAGCTGAATGACATCACTTAGTCCCAGGTTATCAGAGGAAGGGAATAAGAAACAGAGAGGCAAATGAGAATTCCCAAAGTCATTCGTGGCAGTGCAGGGAAGTAAAATGCAGGCCCCCTGACTCCCATTGCATGCTCTGAACTCATAATTATCTTTAGCTTCAGATCATCTCTGTATTTGACCCTACCTTATCAATCCCTACCAGGCCTAGAGTGGATACACAATAGCTTGTTTGTTGAGTGAATGAGTGAATGACTATCCACCTGTATTTTCTAATGTTTCTTTGCTCCTGCCTCACAAAGCTTCCACCCGCCTATGCTGCATCTTTCCTGCTAGTATACCTTTGTTATGTTATCATTCCTACTTTTAATGCTCACTGCTCTCTACCTGGTCAATGCATATACAAGCTGCAAGACTCAGTTCCAGCTCCACTTCCTCCATGAAGCTCTCCTCCTCCAACTTTCATTAACCTAGAAGAGGGAGAGCCATGAAGGCTGAGCCTAGTTGTTCAGACTTCATGGAAAGTCTGGAAAGTGACCAGATCAAGGACCTGCATTCTAGGCCCAAGTGTGCCAGGAGCTGGCTGCATCATCTCGGTTAGATGCCCTCACCTCTCTGAGCCTCATCTTGCTCTTCCCAATCACGAAAGCATAGGACGACATGGGTGTTGTTCAACCCGTGACATGCATAGTGCTGGTGAGATGCTATTAGGTGGTTAGTGCACAAGTATTTTTTGCATGTTAGTAGAATCATATTTGTTTTAATGTGTTTCATGGAGGAAAAGAACCCCAAAACATTAAAGCCACAACTCCTTGGATGTTATTGTATGTGACAAGGCTAAATATTTTAAGTTTGAAGACAGTTAATTCAACAAAAAATAGTAAGCAAATAATAGTACAAGTAGTAATTAGATGCGGCAAAAATAATAAAATGGTATTAAAATGGTGAAAGTTTGCAAAGCACCAGAGGAGCTCATTACTCAGGTCCCTTCTGACTCTCCCTGGGGCCCGTCTGATGGTTCTTTAGCACTGCCAGTCTGTCTATCACTGTTAGTTACCAATGAAATATATCCTCTCATTGTTACAGCTGTGTCTGATAATCCTTGATCTCTGCCACACTCATCGCAGCATAAACACAAAGCAGGCTTTTGAAAAAGACTTGTGGTTAGGGCCAGCCCAGTGGTGTAATGGTTAAGTTCATGCACTCTGCTTTGGTGGCCCAGGGTTTGCAGGTTTAGATCCTGGGCATGGGCCTACACACAGCTCATCAAGCCATGCCATGGTGGCATCCTACATATAAAGTAGAGGAAGATTGGCATAGGCGTTAGCTCAGGGGTAATCTTCCTCAAGCAAAAAGAGGAAGATTGACAACAGATCTTACCTCAGAGCCAATCTTCCTCACCAAAAGTAAAGAAATCAAAACTTAAAAAAATAAAAAAGACTTGTAGCTTCATTGATTTTCAAGTGTTGACTCCAACATTTATAAAAAGCGTAGACCCAGAGTGTCAATATCCTAGTATCAGAATCATGTTCATTATAAATGTAGATTTTTTTTCTATTTATAAAAATGATGTAAACTCATCACGTAAAACTTGGAGAATACAGAAAAGTAGAAAGAGAAGGAAAAAGGCATCCATATTCTTACTGTCCAGCAATGAATTCTGCTAATCTCCCTCCCTAATTAAAAGGTCTGCAAAATCCTAGCAAGTGGGGATCTGTTTCTGTTCATCATTTTGGAAAATGGGAACAGTCCTGATTTAATTTATTTTTGTCATCCCAAATCATAAAATCAAAAAATTTCAATAGAGAATCCAGGGATGGAAGACCTGGCCCCTTCCTAAGCAGCAGCTGAGTAACTGCCACAAAGGTGAGGCAGAGCTGGGAGCAGCTACTATAGGTCAAGGACGATAATAACTGCTATTCTTTGCAAAATGCATTGTGTATGTAAAGCTCTGTGCTAATGATGGTTCAGTATTCTGTGTATTCACATGCCGATTTATATATTTGTCTTTCCTGCAGGGTTTTTGGAGTCTCTGGATGACTTTTACATTCTTAGCAGTGGGTTGATATTGCTGCAGACCACAAACAGTGTGTATAATAAGACCCTGCTGAAGCTTGTGGTACCCCAGTCTCTCCTAGCCTGGCAAAGAGTCCGTGTGGCCAATATGATGGCAAATGGTGGCAGGGAGTGGGCAGAGATCTTTTCAAAATACAACTCTGGTAAGTGGCCCCGCAGAGCAACTTTTAAGCACGTGCATCTGTTTAGATTTCGAGTTAGCCAGTAAAGCCATACTCATGCCCTGCTCACGTTTCCTGCTATTTCAGGCACCTATAACAATCAGTACATGATCTTGGACCTGAAGAAGGTAAACGTGAGGCACAGCCTTGACAAAGGCACTCTGTACATTGTGGAGCAAATTCCTACATATGTAGAATTTTCTGAACAAACTGATGTTCTACGGAAAGGTACTTTCTTCGTGCTGGAAGTCTGGAAGTCTGAGGAGTATGTGTGTGTGTATATGGTGGGGAATGTGTGGTGTGTGAGTGTATGATGGGGACTATATAGTGGGGAAGAAGGAATGGGATTCCCCTTGCTAGTTACACTGGGAAAGAATTACCAGGTTCAGCACAACGTGTAAAACGTGCACCTCAAAGTCTTATGTGACAGTGTCTAGATTGGGACAAAGCCAGGCACTGACCATCTTATGACTTCTCATGGCTCTAATATTGCCTTCTCTCCTGGGTTCCTGAGTAAACCTTTTATAGTTCAATTCAGCAAATATTTCTGGGAGTGCTGCTGTAGCCCAGGGACTGGAAAAGCACAGATACAGGACAAAACCTCTGACCTTTAGGAGCTCACAGTCTAGTAAGACACGTAAAGCAGCCATTGGAACCCAGAAAGTGAAGAGCGGGAATAAGTTCTGGTGTCCCAAGCCCGGTGTGAAACTAAAGAGGGCGCCATTGTCAGTGGGAGGGGTCAGAGAAGGCAGTTCTGGAGGGCGAGGACGTAGCGCAGACATTGGAAGCCCAGGTTTTGGAGTCACCCTGCCTTGATTTGAATCTCTGTTCCTCACAATCTCGGGCAAATTATCCACTCTCTCTAAGCCTCACTTTCTTCATCTGTAAAACTCGACAGTAATGGTACAGGTCCACAGTCACTTATTTATAATTTTGAAATCTCAAAATTCTAAAATCAGAAGTTGTTTGTTTGTTTTGTCCTAGCTCACTTGGTAGCAAAATCTAACCTTATCTGAACTCATTTGGTAGCAAAAACTAACTTGAACTGTCTACTTATGGTCTTTATTTCCTCTCCTCTAGGGAGACTGTTTATACATTAGGCCCCAGAAATATCAATACCTTTGATTATGAATTGCTCCCCACAGAGACTGCAATATTGTATATAATATACAGACTCTATTGCTGTTCTAAAATTTGAAAAACCCTGAATTCTGAAACACATCTGCCCCCCAAGAGTTTTTGGATGTTGGAGTGTGGACCTTTACAATTTCACAGGGTTGTCATGAGAGTTAATTGAGATAATTCTTGAAAGTCTTGAGCACTATTATCTTGCGTCGAACATAGTGCCCGGCACACAGAGTCCTCACTGAGTATTTGTTCAATAAACGAAGCTGAAGATGATGCCTGAGGGGAGGTTTAAAGGCTAAAAAGGGACTCACCAGTCTGACCTGGGGACAACGTCAAATAAGTGGAGGCACGCAGACTGTGGCGTGATTGAGAAACTATTAGCTCAAGACGGCTAGAGAGACTGTGAAGAGGAAGGTGGGTAGTGAGGGAAGAATATTAGCCTTGTGTGTCCTGCTCAGCAGTTTCGCCTTCATACTTTAGAGAATCGGAGGTTTTGAAAAGGGAGACTGGACTGGAGGTGAGAGAGAGGAAGGAAACCGTCGCAGTAGAGCGGCTGATAGATCCGTAGGGACAGAGCCAGCATAGGGTGTGGACCTCAGGGGTCAGGGCCTGGTCCTCGGTTTCCCAGGTCCTCAGATTGATTTTGTAATGACACTCAGAGTGAGCCAGCTCAGCGGGAATGGCTCACGCCAATTAAATGTACCTAAGGTGCGTAACACAGAATTAATTACGGTGGGAAGTTCACTTGCCAAGCAGATCAGATACTACCAGGCAGCGGACCCACCTCCTCCTCTTGTAGGAAAATCTACCTGAGAAATCACATCCTCAGGTGGTTACTTGGTTAGCATGGCAGTTCGAAGCTGAGGACCCAGTTGTCTGTCCTTAAAGCCTGGTCCACACCCCTCCTAAGAGCCTGATAATAATAGCATGTCCCAGGAGGGAGATGCTGGTGAAAGTGGACAGATTATCCAAGGCCTTTTCTTCTTCGGACAGTCGCTGGTTATGGAATGGTGGGTTCAGGTTCTTTGCAATCCCACTCCTAGATCCCATGAAGAAAACTCCTCTGAGACTTAAAGAAGCTGATGCTGATCCATTTGTAGTTTTTTCACCAGAGGGAAGAACAGAGTGTTAAATTCACTGTTTACTGTATTTAGACACTTCTGGGCCTTTTATTTATGATCTCTTGTTTGATCTTCATAGCATACTTCCAAATAAGTAGTATAGTTACCATTTTACCGTAAGGAAAGAAAGGCTCAGAAAGAAACATGTGATTTGCCCAAATAATTGTGATATCATATAGCCATTAAAAAAAAAAGTCCTGCAAACCCCCTGACATTTGGAAGCTGCTGCGGTATGTTGATGGAAGCGCTTGGTGTTTTAGTCAGAAGGAAGGTATGTGACCTCTCTGAACCTCTGTTTCTTCCTTTGTAAGGAGGGATGGTAATACTTATACATCGTCAGGTTGTTGTGAGACTATACAAGATACTCTATTTGAAATGCTTTTGTAAATCATGAAGATTTATGAAAATGTGAATTTGTTTAAAGCAGCCATTTTTTATTATTCATTTGTGCTGTTCACATGAAGATAACAGTTAATATTTATCTAGGGGCCAGCCCCATGGCTGAGTGGTTAAGTTCGCGCGCTGCACTGTTGTGGCCCAGGGTTTCACTGGTTCAAATCCTGGGTGCCGACATGGCACTGCTCATCAGGCCATGCTGAGGTGGTGTCCCACATGCCACAACTAGAAGGACCCACAACTAAAAATATACAACCATGTACCAGGGGGCTTTGGGGAGAAAAAGGAAAAAAATATTTTTTAAATTAAAAAAAAATTTATCTAATGCTTACCAAGAATTAGACCCCATTATAAGCATTCTATCTGTTTGAACTCATTTAATGCTCACAACAATCCTTTTGAAAGATAAGTACTATCATTGTTTACTTTCATAGGTGAAGAAACTGAGGCACGGAGAGGTTAAGTAATTTGCCTAGGGTCACATACTTAATGATGGCAGAACTAGGCTTCAGACCCAGGCCCTCTAACCCCCAAGTCTATGTAACCTAGATATATTGTAGCCATAAATGTGATTTTAGCCTGTAATTCCAGTGTTGTCTTTATCTCAGTTCTGCCTGACGCTGGCTGTGTGTCCCAGAATCAGCAAAGTTGGAAGTCTTGTCATTTGTTCTGTCTCAGTAACCTCACCCCTGAGTAGAGGATCCTATAAAACAGTAAGAGCAAAAGGCAGACAAGGGCCAAGAGAATGAGGGTGGGAAGTCAACCCAAGTGGTGGCGACGTCCCTGTGTTAACTGACTGTCCGAAGGCAACAACCCAGGCCACTGTGGTCTGGGATGTTCTTGACATGTTGATTCTGCTGGAGTTACGTCACATGCTCAGTGACTAATGGGCTCGTGGCCTTGGCACATTATGAAGCTTTGAATGAGGCTGAGCCGTTACGAATGCTTAGAGTCAGAGTGAAAAGCCTGCTGGAGCCTAGAGTCCGTCTCCAATCCTTCCCATTATGGACTCTCGCCTTCCCTCCCCGTGCTGAAAAAAAGAAAAAAAAAAATGAGATTAACTGCCTAAGACCTGGTTATTCAGCTTCAAGTCTAAAATTCAGGTTTTCTGATTCCTGGTACTGTGTTCTTCCGCTCTCCCATGGTTAGCACCTGGCACAGGTCCCTGTTAGGGCCACATTGGGAAGTGGCCATCTTTTGGCATTTCAGTAACCAAGTCCACTTAAATGAACTCCCTGGACCACTTTGTGTTATACTTCATTTTGCTCCATAAATAATAATTTTCTGGCTAATAGATTGCTTTAAGAATTTTGGGTGAAAACTAAAGAATTCTGATGCTCTTCTTCCCCTAAGGGAATAATCTAGAGGTATACCAATTCTGTAGATTTAAAAGGATCGGTTTGACTGCCAGGGTTCACATTCAAAGTTTTATTTTCTGTATAATATCGTTTCGTAATGACACACCTGTGCCAATTTTCATAAGAAATTGTCATTAATAACATTTCTTTCATTCCTTCTTTCTTTTTTCCTCTCTCTCTCCCCCTGTCAATGCCACCCTTCCTTCCCTTCTGTTCCAAATCAGGATATTGGCCCTCCTACAACATTCCTTTCCATGAAAAAATCTACAACTGGAGTGGCTACCCAATGCTGGTTCAGAAGCTGGGTTTGGACTTCTCTTATGATCTGGCTCCACGAGCCAAAATCTTCCGGCGCGACCAAGGGAAAGTGACTGATGTGGAGTCCATGAAATATATCATGCGATACAACAGTACGTAGCACATTTCTCAAGAATCATTCTTCAAAACTCCTTTTCTTCCACATGGATAAAGAATCCATGTAAGTTTATCATCTCTGTACTAGAAGGAATTATAAGAAGTTATTGAACTAAGTATTTAGTATTCAATTAATACTATACATATTTATATTCAACAAATAGAATTTTGTCTTCCCTTATAAAATGACAGGGAAGAAGATTCTACAGATTTTTTTTAATTGAAAACATTCTATGTAAAACACAGAAGAAATAACTCATACAGGGTACTTTTTTTACCCCGCCCCTCAAACACAGGTTTTCTTCCAAGGACAAAAGCAGCCAAAAAAACAAAAATTATTCATCAGTACTTTATTTTTGATGAACAGTATCAAAGTCAAATTTGTATTTATTTTGTTGAAAAAAAAATCAATGCACATTTATCCTCTATCATCTCTCTTCCATCCACTCTTCACTGTGCAAGGTTCTTGGGAGCAGGTTGGGCCTGGAGCAGCTCCTAGTACAGACCAAGAGGACCTCTGATCTGGGAGCAGGCTGGGCGCAGGAGGTCTCTGGGGTATACTCTCTGATTATCTAGGCTTTAACTGGTCCCAGAAGCTTAGCGGGGACAAGGGTTATCTCAGAATAGCCAGTATTCACTCTTCTCCCCGTCACTGTTTCCTAGATTATGAGAAGGATCCTTACAGTAGGGGCGATCCCTGCAACACCATCTGCTGCCGTGAGGACCTGAACTCACAGAACCCGAGTCCTGGAGGCTGCTACGATACGAAGGTAATATGCTACTGGCTTTTGAATTTAATTTCCACCAGCACCTAGGCCTAGTCACAGGCAAAGCTGTAGAGGTTTTTGTGGCATAAAGCACAGCAAAGTCTGTCACCATAAACTCAATTCAGGAGTCAGCTTTTTCAGAGATTCTGGTGGTAGGTCCCACTGCCTAACTTCTAGTCCCTGCTCTGCCACTTACTAGTAAATCACATAATCTTGTAATGCTTCTGTTTCCTCATCTGTGAAATGGAAATAGCAGTACTTGCCTCATTGGGTTGTTATGAAGAATAAACATATAATATCTATAAAAGGTTTAGAACAATACTTAGTGGGTTATTCGTAAATGTACACAATCATCATCATCATCATGATGGTGATAACGTTGAGGTCTTAAGTTTTACCAGACTGGCCCAAAGTCCAAAGAACGTATTATTGAGAGCAGTGTGATTTCACATTAAACAGGAATTGAATTTAACTGAAGGAACAAGTATTGGACCAGATGCCCAAAGCACTAAAGGGTTTTCACCATGTTAGAATTGATAAGTGCTGTAATATGCCCCATAATATAGGTAATATATAGGTTTGCAGTGGTAGGCTGAAGCCAGCTCATATAGACTTGTGAGAACTAATTGCTAAAATCAGTTGACATCATGTTGATTGAAATCAGCAATGGTGGGAGTATTTATAGCATGAAAATCAGCAAACACTACAAACTACGGCCTTCGTTCCTTAGAGAGCTGGTGGTTAAAAATTTACCTGGACACCACTGGGTTTTGGGTGTTCCAGGGTATGAGTTAGTCATTTAGTTGGTGGAAATAATCATTCTAGCACATCCTTTCGCACTTTGGGCTGGGGCATGTGTCTTTTCATTTGCATCTCCAGTCCTAAATTCTGGAATGTTAGAAGTGGAGCTAACTCTTCTATCATCAGCTCTGAAAACTGTAAGAATGCTGAGCCCCTGTGCATTAGTTTTTCCATCAGCCTAATGCCTAAACAGGAGATGCTTTAGGGTAGTCTGAGTTCCTACTCAACCCACTTTTAGCTATGCGATGATGGCAAAGCTTTAGCCTTGATGACTCTCAGTATGTTGTGTTAAGTAGAAAAAAATTTAGAGGATGGATGGAAAGCCTGGCACACATGACGCCCCAGTGAATGTTTTGGCATTTCTTTCTTTTTAATGGTATTTGCAAACATTTGGTAAAGTGTGCGAAAAGTGTTATATCCATTCTAGAACCCACGAAGAAAATTACCGCTGCTGCCTTGCTTGGGAGAACCCAAGCCAAGCTTCCATTTGCCAATTTTACCTTCTTCTGGAGACAAGAGCCTGCCAATTTTTCATCAAAAAAAGTTGAAGGATATTCTTAAAAAATTGCCTTTCTCTTGAGCCATTTGAGTATGGGGGGATTCCCTCTAAGGCTGAGATCTGCTGCTACTCGGTGTCTAGGTGTTTTTGAGAACCGTGGATCCCTTTTTGATATCACTTTTTCATATTGAGCCTTTTCTACTTTAAAACTCTTGTTACTGCCCCGAATAACTTTTATTGAGGAATTAATATATTCCAGGCACTGCTCCAAGCATTTGCTCTCATTAATCCTCATGATAACTCTTCTACGAAGTAAGGTGTTTAGCCTACTTTACAGTTGAGGAAACTGAGTCATATAGGGCTTATTTTGAAGTAAGTTTTGGAACTATAATTCCGAATATGAGTAATCTGACTCCAGATCTCACTTTTGGCTACGTTAGTTTAACACTCTTCTACTAGGCGGTTCACATTCGAATACCAAATAGATACAGAAGACCATATCGTGGAAGCCTGCAAGATTTTGTTTTAAAGGGGGCTAATATTGTGACTTTGGAAAAAGAGCAGGAAAAAAAACAATGAAAAACAGGGATTTAGTCAAGTTTTGTCCACATGGTTTTCTAAAATGCTCCTCTCCTCTCTTTCCAGGTGGCAGATATCTATCTAGCATCAAAGTACACAGCCTATGCCATTAGTGGTCCCACCGTACAAGGTGGTCTCCCTGTTTTTCACTGGAACCGGTTCAACAAAACTCTCCATGAGGGCATGCCAGAGGCCTACAACTTTGATTTTATTACCATGAAACCAATCTTGAAACCTTACGTAAAAGGAAGGAGATGAGGGAATGGAAGGCTGCAAATAAGATACCAAAGGCACTATTTTAGTTACGTTTTTTCATTCAAAATTAGTGTGAATAAAATATATTAAATTCTGTGTCACTTTCATTTTCCACTGTTGATTCTATAGTTTTTAACAAGCATTCACTATGGGGTGGAGCACTGTAGAAGCAGCATTGTATCTGATAAATAACAATACCAGGCTTCAGCACGCAAACATATACAAGAGGGTATGGCAGAAACTGCTTCCCCACTCAACAAAATCCATATTCTCCTTTTATGCCTGGCCACATCTCCCAGATTCCCTCAGGCAGTTGTGCCATGTGACAGAGTTCTTGCCAATGGAATCTGAGATGAGTGCCACTTCCAGGCCTGGCCCAAGAACCTGTACTGCTCCATGCTCCTTCTCCTTCCCCTGACTGAATACACTTAATGACAAAGCCCTGGGCGAGAGGGGCGGGGGCTGCCTTTTCAAAGGAACTTCTACTAGAAATGCAGTTAGTGGTTTTTCTGGGTACTAACAAGCATCGTTGAGTCTTTCTGTCGTGCAGGCCAGGCACACAAGAGAGCAAACCTTAATGTTGGCTCCCTTTAGTTCAAAGCAGCGTAGCCAATCTGGGAGCAACTGCATGACAACTTTTCTCTCAAAGCTGGAGAACTGGATGTGCTGTGAGTGCCGTGGTACTGCCAAGGAGGTAGACCGGCCGTACTGTACAGACTAACGGGTGATTCTTAACAAGCTGAGAGACTTTCAAAAGAAAGAAACACAGGGCTGAGAATAATCCCAAAGAAATCCGAGCACTCAGAATGTTACAAATCCAGTAGTTTTATTTCAAAGTATAAATTTCAGGCTTGCTGGACAAAATCCCACTACAGTTAACACTTATACAGACACCACTCTACTGTACATTTAAAAAAGAAAAAACCCACAAAAACCTTCAAAACCTAATAAAAATAGGGCAAACTGCTATAGCCCAGTTTATATTAGACATTAGGAAGGTCTTACATTGTCTTATTATTTACACTTGCAACTGTCATAAAGAAAAATCAGGATGCAAGTATCCTACAAAGGATTTGTTTTTATATTTAATTTTGAAATGGCTGATAAAATACTAAAGCCAGGATACCCAAAAGGTGTTTGATTGCCCAGTTACCTTATTTACAAACAAAACTTAAAAAAAAAAAAAAAAAAAGACAGCATTTAAATATAAATGATAGGTACTTAGTTGACTCTACAAATTAACATAACCTTATATTTAGCATGATAAAACTATTTGAAGACAAGAAGACAAACCAGGTATTTGTATCTTCCTATTCCTCCCCATTGGCTGGCTCAAGGGGAATAAGTTGTAGGAATTAGACAAGTCTGCCACACTAACAAAACTTGAGAATTCTTCTAATCTTTTCTTTTGTCCCAAAATTTAAAAAGGGGGCAGGGGGCATCATTTGCCCAGTAAAATCGTAAGGAAGGCAAAATCATACAGTGGTTTTATGTAAGAGTTATCTGCAAGAGTTATCTACTCTAATACTGGGACATGGTTTTTCCAGAAATTAGAATAAAACTGGCCAAAGACTGGTCAATGACAAAGTTAAAATAACAAATCACAGGACACTAGTAGCCCAGGAAGGAAAGTTGGGGAGAACACTTGGAAAGTCTCTGCAGTACTCTGCACTGCCAAGATCACAGTGTACAAAGGTGAGAGAGGATACCACAGGCATTATCATGTTAATCTTGTACAGTACTGGAAAATTCATGGAACAAGATAAATGCATATCATGCAATATTAGCACTCACCTTGCTGCATAAATGATAATTCAGAAAATGTAAGCAAAAGAGCAAACAACGAAACCAAAGTTAACACTTATCCAGGACAGTAAGAGAACCACGTGGAGCAGCCTGCCTAAAGACTCCCACAGACAGATGTCCCTAAGGGTCTAAGCTCCCTGCTTTAGGTCACTTTTTTTCAATCAGACTTTTCATCTACTATCTGACAATGTGGGTGAGGAGAGGGGAACACCTCTCTGTGAGGCCAACAGTATCCCAATAAATGTTCACTTTTCAGCAAGAAAGTTCTACTCTTCCCTTCTCTCATAAACTTCTACTGTGTTAAACAGTACACAGTATTCTGCATATTTTAAAAAGTAACTCTAGAGAAATAGAGGGAGATAGTTACCTCATAAAGTTAGCTGTTAGCAACACATTTTGCCTTTGTATGTAATTTATAAATTTACTAGCAAGAACATAATTTTAAAAAGAGGCTTACTCACACTTAAAACAGGGTGAAAATTACTCTGACAAAGTGCAAAGTAGGGAGTAACAAACATCACTGTTACCTTTAAATGCCATATAAACATCCTACATCTCAGGTTGAAATATCAGAAGTTTCCAGGATTTCCAATAAGGCAATACTTACACAAGTATTGTCAGGCTAAAAATGTAGCAAACTTGCATTCCCAAAATGGGATAATCAAGCTCACGTGTAATACTTTGTGAAAAGGTACTGTGAAATACAAAAGGTACCATGAGGTGTGAACTGCTAGAAAAAAGTCTGTAATCAGTAGCTATTTCTAGTTGAGTCCTCCATTCTCTCTCCCCAAAGAAACAAACCAAACAAAAAACCAGCACTCATCAACATTAAAACCTCCCCCAAATAAAAGCCTATAGTTCTAGCCCAGCACCTTTCAGCAAATCCTATATAGCTGTTGCCCAAAAGTCCCATAATTTGAGGGGACCATCTTATAATATACTTTTTCCTCAAATAATTACAATCTCTTTTTGTCCCTTCCTTCCACCATCTGGAATAAAAAGCTTTACTTTACTGTAGTAAATCTATTTTTAGGGTTAATATTTGAGATTTTTTTCCTTAGAAAACACACAATATAGGCTAAAATAATGCAATATTTTCATTCTACTGGGCTTTTTTCACCTGATTATATAATGCCATCAAAGCTTTTGTAAAAAAAAAAAAAAAAAAGATTAGTGAATATTAATAAAAACATCCACTAAGGGAACCTTATCTAGGCTAGGTAAGCAAATTGCTGTCTCGTGACCATAAAACCGGCCAATAAAGAACAATTTTGAACATGGGCTTTCTATTCTGTAGACAGAAATGATCTTCAACATATAACTGACACTGCAACCACTGCAGGTAAAAACATACATACATGCAGATATAGAGAGGTGTTCACACACATCCAGAAGGGTTCTCCCTTTTGAAATTTCCATTGGCATGACATTGGCAACTTCTTTACCATCATCATTAGTCCCAGAATGAGTAACATCTACACAGTTGGTTGGCAAATTTGACTCATGGAAACTTGCTCATTGCGGTCTCATTTTCTGACAGTGAAAGAAAGGTTTGGGAGCATTTACATTTTGGCAATCTACAGGCTTTCTTGAGTATCAGTCAAACTTTACACCTAACGCGACAGCACACTGACCTTTACAACTAGAGTGCTCCCTACTATAAGCCATCAAAGTTGCAAACAAAGCAGCACTAACAGAAGGGATAACTCCCTCCTATAATTCCAGGTAAAATTAATGGCTATTTCATTTTGAGAAGGTAGGAGCACAAATTCAAATGTGGTAAGGAAAGATGACTTGAAAAATTATTTCACAAACTCCATGAAGTCCTTTCAAAATATTGCCAACCACATTCTCATCCCCAAACTTAGCCCAGCTCTCTGGTCCTAAACTGTCTACATTCAAACACCTACCTGACACCAGCAGAGCTGGTACTCATGGTGAAAATCCATGACCCATGCTGAATTTGATTAACTTTGAAGAGGAACAGAGATGCGCAGACGTTATGTCTAATTCTTATATAAAACGACCCCGGAGGATCTATTTTAAATTCTATCCAAAGTTCACACAGGGTAAATCAGACAAAACTTGGCACCATCAAAACAAAGTTAAAAGGTTAAAACAGAAAGAATGATATGAGAAAAAAGAGGAAATGGATTTTCCCTTTGATATTTTGGCTCACCGTATTTTGTGAATTTTATGGTTTACTTCCTTTGAAAGATTACTATGCTTTGGGTGATAAAGTGAAATAGAACCGCTTTCATAATTTCTAACAGTGTGCAACATACATACTAAAATATGTTTGAAGGAAATTTTTCTTACACAATATGAATACGGTCTTCTCTTGGTCCACTTTATACAGAGTTAATTTAAATAGTGACCAAAAATAAAAGCATTTATATTCTTAAAAAAAATAGCAAGTCAAATTTTTGGAGTTAAACGTAGCAATACCATTGATGAAAATATATATAAAAGACTTGGTTTAAAATTTATTTGAGGGGAATGTGCTCTGTTTTTGTGGAGATGAAGGAGAAACAAAGGGCGAAAGGCTGAAAGGGAAGAGTAAACGACCATGCACAAATGGCTGTGTTTGTATCTGCGGTTAATCTGTAAGGCACAAAATAAATGTAAAAGTCAGGTAAGAAAAGGGAGGGGCAGTTGTAGAACTTTTTCACCTAATTAACAACCCAGAAGAGACAAAAGAAAAGATGAACAGATCATTTCCTGTGTTCAAATTAACCTATTTCAAACTATTTACCACTTTTTTTCTTTCTTTCTTTGGGTTTTGTTTAGATTCAGTGTAAATCCTTTACCTGTAAACCTACAGATCCCTCAGAAGAGAACCATGCTAGTTACATACCTCAGATCCTTTGACCTACTTACTTCATAGCGGAAGAGAAGTCAATTTGAGAATGAAAATGGGAGATTCCACTGCAGTAAACATATAAATAGGGAAAAACACACACAAACACCCACACATATTTCCCAGCCTCAAAACTAAAGCAAGGTGCACATTTACATTTCAAAACCTTGAAGCTTGAATTGTCCAAAAGATTCTTGCTTTATGGGCTGAGTTTATTTTACTTCTGATTATAAACAAATGTAGTGTATATACACATCTGTCCAAGAAATCTTGCACAATGTGGATTTTACAATGGATATCATGCACAAGATTAAAACAAGACCGAAAGTGGAAATTCTGAAAGAAGAAGAGATAAAGGCTGCAAGGTTTAACTGCTCTGGGAAGAAGAGATCACATCCGTCGACTGAGGATCACAGAAAGGTCCAAAGCGTCCATAAATGTCCTTGGCTCGCACTGCAAAGTAGTACTTGCTGCCAGACACAAACTGGGTGAGAGTGCATGCCATGGGCAAGGGAAGTGCCTTGACTTCTCCAATCTTTTTCCATTGTGAGGGCACAGTGGCACTGGGTTCCTCATGGTAAGCATAGAGATGGTAGCTGTCCACAGTGGCGCAGCTCCGATCCACCTCCAGGACACTCCATGACAGTACAATGCCATTTTGACTCTGAACTCGTGCTAACTTCAAGTGTGGCTTCTGAGGCAGAGATGTGCTGGCAGCTTCTGGGGGAAGACGCTGTGGTTGTGGGGCTTCCGGTAAGGGTGCTGGGTGCACAGGGCGTGGGGGCTCCTAACAAAAGAAGAGTCACGTCGATTTACAATAATCACAGAAAGGACTGTTCCTGAATGCTAGTACTCAAACACCTTAGAAATCATTTAGAGAGAGAGCATTTTATGTCAAGAATCTGGGAAATACCAAACACTGTATCACATACGGCAAGTTTTATTTGGTGATTTGTAACCAATCACATCCCAAACCATGGTGCTGAGGTTACTCTTGCTATACTTTCTAGATCTAAAATATTGAGTTTTCCTTGGAAAACAAAAGCCCTTGCTGATGGAACATCATCTTGACAGAAACTGAAATAATCATCTACTTCTAACAAAATAATTTATGATTTAATTCTCTACCTATGTTACAGATTCTCATTTTAGTATAACGTAACGTTTTTTAATATCATGTGTGGCAGTCTATCATATGCAATTTGATTATTCCACTCTACTTTCATTTTTAAGCTGTTTTTCCACCTAAAGACAGAAGCATATTCTTACAAATAAGCACATTTAATGCTGAATGTATATTATGTTCTTGGTCAGTCTGCACAAAAAAGGTGACATTTAAAGTGGACTATGAAAGATAGAATTTAGAAATGCAGAAATAGTTATGTACCTTTCTGCCAAAAGGTGAAGCCTGAACAAAGGCATGGGGAGGAACAGGAGGGGACTTATGGGCAAAAAGAAGTAATAACTTTTACTTAGACCTAGGGTATGTGAAGAAGAAAAGAGAAATTCAGAAAGGCAGGTTAAGGCCAGACGATGAAAAAGCACGAATACTAAGCTTAGGAAGTCAAACTGACTTGTCTAACAAATGGATATTATTATTATTATTATTATTATTACGTCTGGCTTTAAGATTACACTGATAATTTTTTCAAAAATAATTCAAGTGACAGCCAGGAAATACGGATATGAGTGATTATTTTCCCAAGTGAAACATATCATTGCTCACTGACTTTAGATTGGAAATCATGAAACAAATAAGATTTCCTTAACTGAAATTCATTTAATAAAAACTGTTTTAATATGTATTTCATTAAATGGATAATTTGCATACACTAAATAGCGACTTCTGCGAAGGTCTGATATCTTTTTAATTTCCATGCCTTCTCAAAGCTTAGTACCAGTAATCTGCATATAGTAAGAACTGAAAAGGATATGCTGAATAATTTCAAGGAATGCAAATCTGCTGAAATTCATATGCCTAGTGGAAAAACTTCACATACACATCCAGAAAAAGGTACAATCCACAGTTAAAAAGTTAAAAGAAAGTTAGAGGGGAAAAACGTCAAATTTAAATATATATATAACATTGAAAGCTAGAGAAGTAGAGCTGATCTGAATACTGGCCATGCTGCTGCTATTTCCTCCCTCAGCTGATCTTTTTTCCTAAAATGACAATCACTTAAGTAAATAACATTAAATAAACATATAGCCAGCAAGATCTAAGAGAAGAGGCCTGAAGCCATGAACTTGACTGGAAAGAGCACAGGGATTTTAGGAGTTTGACAATAGCTTAAATGGCCTGTAATCTCTCTCCTAATTCTTAAAGTTCTAGGATTCTGAATCTGCTCATATCCCAAAACCAGTTAAGTCAATTGAGTTGTTGCTTTGTTTTCCTTTTGCCTTTGCAATGGAGGTTTTCAGTGAAATTTTACAGATAAAATAATATGATATCAGGGATTTGCTTCAAAATAATCCAGTGTAGACATGGGTTGTAGCACTGCAGATGAACTAAGACTGGCCCAGTGCTGACCACTGTTCAAGACGAGTGATGGGTATGTGAGAATCGTGATACTCATTTCTCTACTTCTATATATATTTGAAAATTCCCATTTAAAAACATTTAAAAAATTACAGTAAAATAAGTTTCTCCTCTGAGAGAGAGTTTATTCTAAGACAATACACATGGAATCCTGTTTTTGAAAAAAAAGGTCTGATGGGCACAAATTTGTAAAACTATGGTATAAAAGATTTTTGCTATGTATTTTTTGAAAGACTATGGAATGAAAGAAATTATTTATAGACGCAAGTAACAGTAATGGTGTATTTGCCACATACCCTAATAGGGCCAGATCTGAAGCACTGTGAAATGACTCTGGAGGTGCTGGGATCAGACAGCTAAGTTTGAAAACAGCTATGGCTCTGACACTACTTTGGGTAACGACACCAAGTAACCACATAAGATCTTTGTGACACTGTATTCTCTTTCCACCAAAAGGAGAACAATAATCCTCACAGGGTTTTAAGGATTAAATAAAAAAATACATGTAAAGTACTTAATAGAGTACTTGGTATATAATAAGTACTCCATTAATATTAATGTTTTCATTGTAGTGGAACAATAAAAAAAAATAGCTGTTAAGAGCACTGGCTCTGGAGCTGGAACGCACGGGTTTTTATGAAGTACGTCTGTGGGCTTGTTACTCAACCTCTCCGTACATTAGCTAGCGTATCTATAATAAAGGATAGAAAAAGGAGAGCAAGAGTCCTAGAGGATTCCTATGTGAGGACCCAGTGTACTGACAGTGCCTGGCACATTAGGAAATGCTCATAAATGCTAGCCATTACTGAGTACTGAAAAAAGGATGCTTTGGGGGCCAGCCTGGTGGCACAGCAGTGAAGTTCGCACGTTTCACTTCGGTGGCCTGGGGTTCACCAGTTAGGATCCCAAGTGCGGATCTAGGCACCACTTGTCAAGCCATGCTGTGACAGCATCCCACATATAAAGTAGAGAAAGATGGGCACAGACGTTCGCTCAGGGCCAGTCTTCCTAAGCGAAAAAACAGGAGGATTGGCAGAAGATGTTAGCTCAGGGCTAATCTTCCTCAAAAAAATAAATAAATATCAAAAAATAAAAATCAATTAATTAATTAAAAAAAAGAAAAGGATGCTTTGCTTGGTAAAAAGTGATATCAGCTTCATAGAGCCAGCATTTCCATTTACATGGTATACCATACCAAACAATGTTACAATCATGTCACAGGATAATGTGACTGTTTTGGAGACTAAGTCTAAGGGAAAATCTTTGTTTTTTGCTGTTACAGCTCAAAAATGAATTCCTGATACCACTGGATTATTAAAAACAATAAAGTGATAGCAATGTAACAGTTAGAACTGATATAAGGCTTTGAGAAAAAGAATAAAGTTAGAATATGAAAAAATACTTTTTAAAAATACTCTTTTTAATACTCAAAAATACTCTTTTAGCCATAAGTTAGAAACATTTTTTTCACTTCTCATGGCTCAGCTGTGGACTTTTTGTACACTGTATACCACCAAAAGAAAACGCCATGTTCCTCGATGCCCATCATCCCGAGGAACATTTGTTCATAGTGCTAAGATCTATTTTCTTAAACTTCTGCTGGAAAAAGAGAGGATCTATCATTTCTGTTCGATATAACCAGTTTAAAGAAAAATTGCTGACTACACTAATATTTGACAGCTTTACCGTTGAGAATTTTGTAAAGCCAGGTCTCAGCACTTACAGGATGCACTTGTGGTGGGCGGTGATGCACTGTGAGCTGAGGTCCTGTTGATCCCAGGGTGAGCCCATTGTTTACAACATAAGTAGTTGCTTGAGGCACTCGAACCGTGACACCTACAAAAGAAAGGTAACAGATAAAATCAGAATTCTATTCGAAATTTGGTGGAACACTAATTAAGCACTTGAAGTCAATAAAGTGATATTTTTAAAATTCAAAGGAAAAATATTTCTAAGCTAGAAGTCTACACTCAGCCAAAATATCATTCAAGCATGAGGATAAATAAATTTTCATATATGCAAGCAACCAAAAAAATCCTACCTCCATGAACTCTTTCTCACATAGCAACTAAGGGATATATGCCACCAATATAAGAGTTCTCTATCAAGAACGAGGACAAAAACATGAGATACAAGGAACAGGAGATCCAGCACCAGTGAGAAAGAAATGGAATCCCTTCCAAGGGGACTATGTGCAAACATCCTAGAAGAGTGAAACACTGGTGGTAGAAGGCTAATAGGCCTTCACATGTAGAAAGCAAACAGGCCAGAGTGGAGCAGGGTGACTAAAAAGACAGACAAAGTGAAGCTGTCTTCTCAAATATCTCCGCTGTCTCATCTTTTTAACTAGGAGAGAAATCTCAACTAAGTTATCCTCGCCTCGTGTTAACGAGGTTCCTCTCTTTCTCTCTATGCCCTGGTGATCAGCTGAAGATACTCACATCACCCAACAGAAAACTGTTTTGACACACATCAGGGCAATAGAAGCAGAAAATTTAGAACCATCTACTGCCCCAACCGTATTCCCGCCATAGATTCAATACCTGGCCCATAGTACAGTTCTGCCAGGTACACTGATTGTTGTGAGCCCAGTTTCCCAGAACTCATTCATCATCGTGTTGACTGATTGCCCCAAGGAAAGCTCTTATAAACTTGGGAAAGTTGAAACAAGACTGTGAACGAGAGACTCTTCCTAGAAACCATCACCTAATAATGGCATTATTGTAGTTCTTTAAACAGCTAGATTTGCCTTTGCTATTAAATTCTGCAAAAATAAACATTTTTAGTGATACTTATATAGATGGCAAAACCATACTGAAAAGCAGAATGTAAGAACGATGGTTACCTCTGATAGAAAGTGATAGGGATGCAATTAAGGGTAGGCATAGGCATATAGTAGGCTTATAGGATATTGATAAAGCTTTATTTCTTAAATAATAAGCCACTCCAACTAAATGTTGAAGAACTACATGTAAGTTGGAACCATATACAAGAAAAGAGGCTCTTACTATTTTGGGGATTGACCTGCCGAACAGCAGGAGCCTGCATAACAGTTCCCCGCAGGGGAGCCTGAGCTGGTGGTGCTGGGAGAGTTGTATAAACCACTTGGTGGTTTGCAGGAGCTCTTGGTACAGGGAGTCTTGTGGTCACCTGAGTTACTGGACGATGTGTTACATTCACGGTGGTTGGAGCTAACGAAAAGCAGAAAAATATATAAGAATGCAGTAAATTCTATTTAACAATATTAAGTGGTAATTAACTTTGCACAAAATCTAACTATGATAAAGAGAGAAACAGAGACAACAGTTCTCCTCTTGTAATCCTGAAAGATAAGAATGATAGGCCCAAACAAAATTAATAATATTACAATCCGCACTTCAGAAGAAAAGAGCACCTCAACCAGGTCCAATGCCTTCCCGCTCTTTACTTTGATTAGATAATAAGCATGCGAAGATAAAGCAAGGATTTAGACTTCACAGTGTGATCTTACAGATGACTGAAAAGACTAAATTTTTCCTCCTCAATGTTAAACTGTTCTTAGCAGAGTGAAATTTTAGGCCCTCCAGGCCTTCTACCAACGGGTATAAATCCAAAAGAGTAACTCTGCCTTCCCACAGTTCAAGAAACTGGCTGGCTATCGCAGTCGACTATTTCTTCAGGTGAACCAAACCATCTCTTACTCAAAACAATAAAAAATCCATTAAGATGCAGACGTCTTTCTTTTCTGGCATTCCTCTTAGTCTATGTTCCAGAGATCATTAATGCCTTGAATGATGTTAGTATATATTTATCAAAAATTGAGTCCTACATGTTCACTAACAGCATGGAACTACAATAATGATTTTAAGAGTTAACAACTTGTTAATAACTCTGAATTAGAATCACATTTTACAAATGACTACGTATTGACCATGGAATAAAAAACAATAATAAACCTACTTTCATATGGAAAAATGGGTTCTATAATAACATAAATTTAGGGGTAAACACCGGCTATAACAAAGATAAAAAGGTTCTTTACTAAAGACTCCTTAGTGTTTACATATTCTAACTTTTGGTGTGAACCTTTAGAAAGGGGAACTATACAAGGAGGAATACTTATCTCTTCATCTCTTTATTACCCATTTTATTATCTATACTGCAAATGGGTCTGCATAATGATATTTCCTTCTAAATTACCTAACTTAAGTGACTGTCATTTTAATTTCACTGGATAAAATTTCATGGGAACTCAATGTTTTCCTTAATGAGAAGAGCACTTATATAAGAATTTTGCAGACAAATCTGTAAGTAGTGGCCTATTTTATGAAGAAGACAAATTGTCCTGATTGGCTTCCAAACGGTTTAGGAAATACAGGCTACAACTTAAAAATGTCTAATTTACAGCTTCTTGATGGGTAGCATGTAAAATATTAGTGCATATTTCCTGATGGTAGTGTTAGACCAGTTAAAACTAGTTCAAATTAAGAATCATTTAAAAATTCCTGTTTGATTAGTCAATTATAACTTCTTGGTTATAATCAGAATGAATCATTTCATCCATCCCTCCCAGAGAAACTATATTCATTCTTGCTGTTTACAGTGGCAGATGACAAAGAGATATATCATTTGTCTTCTTTATAATCATTTTCTATCAATGCTGCCACTTAAGAGGGTCAGCAAAACTAAGTTATATTGCATTCAAAAAGACATACTGTCTCCTAAATAACAATGACAATTATTTTTAATTTTCTGTCTACTTTTTCCTCTCAATTTCATAGTCACATTTCACTGTAGGCAACACTAAAGCTTCAGCTCAATAATTCAGCAAGTTTACCTGTAGGTAGTAAATGTATGGTTGTCTGAGATGGTCCACTTGTTGGCACCCCTGATGGCTGAAGAGGTGGTGCTGGCTGGATGGGTTGCAACGGTCGAGACACAGGCTGAGAAGATCCCATGGTTGATACAGGAGTGTGATTTAGCTTCTTAGGGTCTGTTTAATTAAAAGTGACATTATGATTATTGATATAAGAAAACTAGAAATATGGGTTTTTCCTTCATCTCTGAATTTTACTTTGTCACTCAGTCACATTCACTGCTAAGAGAGTAATTTCTTTCTATTTTAATTATGTGTACTTTTGCCAATTTGAAAACCAAGTCAGACCTTAAATAATTCACTGCTGATTTCTCACATATTCTAATTCCCATTTACAGAAACACAGCTTTCCATTTTGTTTGTTTTGAAAGAATCCTACTTGTGAACTCAATACAATATCATGTCAATCAGAATACTTTCATTTCCTACATTACTACATATCTATATCAAGGCCATTCTCCTAAATAAATAACTATAAACTGATGAGGTTTTCACCAATGATCTTGTATTCCAATTAATCTACTGTTGTTTAGGTTCTTTTGTTTGATAACACAGATGGTTGCTTATCTACACTATCCAGTCTTTTAAAATAAAATACACAGAGTGTCTGATCTCAAAAAAGTTCTCCAACAGCCTATGAAATAAATGTTTGCAACTCAGAAAAAGCCCTTAAAAATAGGTAACCCCTACATAGCATAATACAAAAAGTGTAAGCCAAAAGACCTTCTCTGACCAAAACGATCCCCACTGATTTCTATCCTATGGAATTCCTCATTAAAATGTAAACAAAATTTAAGGCTTTAGCAACTGTCACTTTAATTGGGTGCTGATGGAGAAGAACTCACTCTAGAATGGGAGAATTGAAGGTACACTCAGGTGGGACAATAGAAAGAGATCCCACGAGGTAAGAATGTTAGAAAGGAAAAGGGCAAGAGTTCCGATGACAAACTTCGCTTACTTACTTTTTTATTCAGAATCAGCCTGCCTGTGTCCTCTGAAAAATAAACCTGTATTTTTGTCCTCTAGACGTTCATTATATTTAGATTCATGTATTAAAAAACAGTAAAAGCAAGAGAGATGATTTGAAACTTTTTAAGAATAACCATACTAGTATGAATTCAACTCTGACAAATGATGGCATAAATCTTCTAATTTTACATGAGTTTTATACAAAAAAGCTGATTTACTGTCACATAATCAATTGTATACCTAAAACCAATTGAACGATCTTATTTTCTAAAATACAATTCTTTAAATCTTTAGGTTTTTAAAAAGTTTAACGTCTTTAAGACAATAAACTTATCATCTGACCCTACTAGATTTTCCACATGCATTATATAATTATCACACAGAGTTTTACAGATATATCTGCGAACAGTTATTTTGTGCAAATAAGTTTGAGAAATACTTTGTATCTTGAATCGTTCTTGAAGAATTACATTATAAATTAGCATAATAAAGGCTCAGAGAAGTCTGTACTAAAAAAAAAAAAACCTCCTAATTTTGTTTAATTCAGCATTTCCCAAGTATATTTAACAGTGAACTTTTTATTCATAGAACACCTATTAACACTGCAGAAGAACAACTGGGAAAATTGGCTAATATCTATCCAATATAGTTTCTAAATATTCTAACTCAGAATAATATTGAGGATATTGGGTTTGCATGCTTTTTAACATTACATTCATTTGTATTTATACAACACTAAATAAAGGAAATTATTTCAAATAACCAAAATTAAATGTATACATACTTAAAACTATCTACATTAAAGTACACACACACACACACACACACACAGAGAAAGGACATTTAATTTGATTCCCAGATCCCTTAGTGACTCCTACTCTCTGAATTTATCCTCTACTTTAAAATGGGCATTATAGAGCTATTGCAAGGATCAAGTGAAATAACTGATACAAAATAAGAGGTCCTCCATAAGTTAAATATTCTAACTGTTCTGTTTTCCTTTATGCCTTGTTCATCTTCATTCAAGATTTGATTTCTATTTTTTAACTCTAATCTAAAAAATTCCCATACTAAAAGGGACACAAATACACCAAGTGTAATGCTGTAGAGATCTGTCTTCAATGAATAAATATTATACTAGATTCAGAGGAAAAAATGGTATCAAAGCATTCTTTAGTACAATTACTTATATTTAAGTACCTTGTGAAGCTCCACTCTCCTCATCATCCATTGTGAGATCAATGACACCACCTGAATCACTGCCTGCGGCTTTTCCACTCTGAAAAACAAAACTTGTGCATTTTGCAAAGGAAACTCTGGCAGATATAAAGGAAAATGAAATACTGAGGGGAAACGAAGATAATGAGCAGCCTGGTTCAATCTGGACCTCTAAATGGCCTTCCCTAAAGAAAGACAGTTTGTCAGATAAATGACCCCAGGATTCTCAGCAGCTAAACATCTACCATGATGCAAAAATAATTTTAAAATATTTTCACAAGAAATTTTAGCAGTATTTTTTTAAAAATTAAGCTGTCAATTGCATAGAGATATTGAAGTTAAGTGCTTTAAGTGATAAATGATTAAAGAGAAACATCATTCATTTTCCAACATTTAAAATGTTGACCAATCCTACACTAAATTGTCAATATTAACTTGGAAAAACACTAAAGGCAACTTTAAAGCTAGAATTAGGTTATATAAAATAACTTAATCTATTTTTTCCCCTAAAGAATGGTATGATAGGATAGGATATGGTATACAGCAATGTTAACTAATACCCAATTTGACCAAGTTAACCCATTGTCCAAAATCATTAGAAATGTAATTTAAAAAAAATTTTTTTAACTATATAATAGCAACAAAAAAGGAAAGAAGTACAACACAGACCTAAAGAACCAAGATCTTTGAGACAAAAAGACTTTTAGTTCCAGCACCTATTAGTTACGTGAATTTATGTTGAAAGGTAATTTCCTCAATTTCCAAAATCTGAATATGCAGTCTGTTACAAGGATTAATCCAAATATGTATATAAAGAGCTTAACACCCAGCATGACACATGGCAACTGCTTAAAATAAATGCTAATCATAATTACTTTATGATATAAGAGATTAACTCCAATGATTAAGGTTTCCTTCTGCGAAACTCAGATTTTGTGAAATTAAAGAAAGTAATTCCTTGATGTCAGAAAATTCAGGCCTAATCCAAAGATAATGATGTAATTCTAAATCTTACAATTATAAACCTTTATATGACAATGACTTCATAGAAACTAACCTGTTAACAAACACCACAAATATATAAAATTCAAACTAAAAGTCCTAACAAATCCTTGAAGAATGAAACAGAATCCACTCATTACAATATATCTATAAGGTCCACTTTTCAAAGTTTGCTAAATTTAAATTTATCAAAAATTACTAGAAAAATATACAAAGACCAATAAACTAGGAGTCAACTAAAGACAAAAGATACTCAATAGAAAATGACTCCAAGCAGAGCCAGATGTTTAATTCAGCAAAGACTTCAAAGCAGCAGTTAAAAATATGTTTAAAGAATTAAAGGAAAGCATGATAATAATGAATGTGCAAATAGGAAATCTCAGAAGTAGAAACTGAAAAAGAATAGAAATTTTAGGGCTGACAGTACGATTGCTAAATAAAAATTAGCCAGGGAGATTCAAGAGCAGATTGTAGATGGCAGAAAAGACTCAGGGAAATTGATCCTAGATCAGTAGAAATTTTACAGAAAGAAAAACACAAGAAAACATGAAAAGAACCTGAGACCTGTATAATATAAAAAGAAGCAGTTCAGTAAAACTCTAAAAGAAAGGAAAGAAAGAATGGGGTTGAAAAAATTATTTGAAGAGACAATGGCCAAAACCTTCCCAAATTTGATGAAAAACATTAATTTGCAAATCCAAGAGGTTTGCTCCAAGAGGAGCAAAGAGTTATTGCTGAGTATTGATCAGAAACTATGGAATTAAGAAGACTCAAACAATATACTCAAAGGGCTGATAATTTTTTCAAAATCTATAAACTAAGAACTCTATATACAATAAAGCTCTCCTCAGAAAAAGAAGGTTGAACACAAAAAAGTACATTTTTAGATATACAAAAAACAAGAACTCATCACAAACACATCTACACTGTAAAAAAATCTTAAGAAAATTCTTTAGTTTGAAAGGAAATGCCAATTCAGATTTATAGAAAAGAACAAAGAGAACCAAGTAAGTAAATATGAGGATAAATATTAAAGACAATATAGCTTTCCTTAATTTCCTTAAAAGATATACGATACTCTAAGATAAAAGTTAAAAACAATGTATTTATAGATTTGTAGCATATGTAGATGCAATACAGAATGCAATATATGTGAAAATAAGACCATAATGCATAAGAAAACAAGAATGTAATATACATGAAAATCAAAAGCAGTAGGGGGTAAATATAAATATACAGTGCCAAGGTTCCCATAACTTATCTAAGTAATTAAATATTAACTCTAAGAATAATGAGAAATAACTTTAAAATTTAGATACATATTGTAAAACCTAGAAAAAACCTTAAAAAAAATAAGTCAATGCACATATAGCTAGAAAGGCAACAGAAGAATTAAGATAGAATACTTGAAAAGAAAGCAAAAAAGAAAAAGGTTGGCACAAAACAGGAAAAAAGCACACAAACAAAAAACAGAGATGAAACAAGTTTTTAAAATTACAAAACATCAGACCTAAACCCAATCATATTAATAATTATACTAACTGTAAATGGACTCAAATTTCCTATCAAAATGTGGGGATTGTCAGATGGGATAACACATCAAGAAATCAAGAAACAACTATTTTTTCCTCCTAGATACTCACTTTAAATACAAAGATGCAAACAGACTGAAAAAAGTAAGCATAAAAAAGCTGCTATGACCATGTTAATATTAGATGAGATACAAAGAAGGAAACTTAATAATGATAAAAGGGTCAATTTGTCTATTTCTCCCATTAATTTTGTTGTTTTCCCTTCATATGTTTTGATGTTCTATTATAGAAGTGCATATTTTTCTATAATGTATAATCTATAATGGGAGAAAATGGTTTACAATCAATGATATAATCTACTGAATTATATTTTTCTGGATCATAACCTGACCGATACAATTCATCTATTATCATATACTACACGTAGTTTCCTGCCTGTATTTTCTTCTTTAGAAATAGAATTGGAAATTACTTAAATAGGCATTAATAGCAATTATAAGATAATCATAAGACAATCATGATAGCCAGCATTACTCCTATTAGGCTCTGTGCTAATTGTTTTACATTCATTAACAAATTTAATCTTTATAATAATCCTATGAGGTGAGTACCAGCATTAGCTACATTTTATACGAGTCCAAGGTGTTAAATAACTTGCCCAAAGGTTACCCACTATTAAGTGACAGGAGCCTGGTTGTCTGACTCTAGAGTTTATTATTTCTATGCCAACAGGTATAGATTTATAAACAGACACATATACCTATCTATGTATCTTTACATTTTTTCTGACACCATTTCTAAGAATCCGTATCTAATCAGAGACATCACACATTTGTATCTGTAATTACATGTATTACTGAAGTTCTCAACTTGAAACTATCAAAAAAACCCCACAAAACTTAGTTGGGTCAAATAGGTTTTAATCTAGTCATGCACCACAAAAGAATGTTTTAGTTAAGGACAGACTGCAATATATGACAGAGGTCCCATAAGATTAGTACCATACAGCCTAGGTGTATAGTAGGCTATACCACCAGCTTTGTGTAAGTACACTCTATGATGCTCACACAACGACAAAATTTGCCCAACAACGTAAACGCCTAACAATGCATTTCTTAGAACGTATCATCATCGTTAAATGATGTATGCCTGTACTAAGAACCTATTTTATTAAAAAGTTATCTAATCATGTGTTATTCTCCAACAATAACTCCCATTAAGTGAACACTAAGGAAATTTCAAGAGAGCAAAGATGTTGGCTTTGTAGAGATTTTTTTTTTTTAATGAAACAAATAACAAGAACATATTTGAAAGGCTACAGTAGAGCAATTCAACAATTGCGAAGAAAGTTAACACAGAAGACCTGGTTGTTCACTCCCTGCACATCTCTCCACGGGAACTGGGAACTATAACTGAAGCTTGGTTAGCTACTAGGAATGCGGCCCTTGGAAAGTTTACGTAAATGATTTGTAATTTTCTTAGGTCCACCTTGAATAATGGACAGTGTCATACTGACTTGTCAGGATTGATTCGCACAAACATTAAGATTGATGGTGTACACCTGATTTCACCGTTGGGGTCCTGAGTTGTGGCTGCCATGACTGGTAACATACAAAGACAAGCCTATATGACCAGCCCTCTAAAATACCTCAGACTCTGAGACTCAATCAGATTTCTCTGGGCAGAGATTCTCAGGGCATGTCCCTGCAGTTAGTAACAGAGAGAAAGCACATCTCATGCAATGCTGGACAGGGGAGGATTTAGAAGCCTGTGCCTGATCTCTCTGAACCCCACTTGGTGCATATATTTTTCCTGTTGTTTTTGCTCTCTACCTTTTTGCTATGTAAACCATAACCAAGAGTACAACCTGATATGGGTCTTCTAAGTCCTTCAAGCAAATCAGCAAACTTGAGGGTAAGCCTGAATCCCTCAAAACAGCAATATAACTACAAATGGCAGCAGAAAGTATGACAATGTATGCTAATAATTTAAATAATAAGTTTACTTTTCAATATATGAAATATATTAATAAGGTATATGTGAAATGAGATATATGAATAAAATATGTAGTAATAATTCATTTTACAAAATATGTTAATAAATTCTTATTTGGGGGATATTAGAGAAATCTTCATTCAAGGACTACAAAAAAAAGACCATTTTACATATTTAATTATTTCCTAATTAGGTATGACTGAACAATAATCATTTCCATACCAGCCACTCAGATTCCTCCTAATCTATACTAGCTTTAAAGTGCTCAGAAGCACAACTAAGATTTGGCACAGAAAAAAGAAGTTAGCCATGTGTACTTAGAAAGCGACATTCTAAAACATCACAGTCTACTTGGTGTACATTACTTTCTAGTTGCTATTAAGTGGCATATTTAATAAAAAGCTAACATGTAATTTCTTAATATATCTTCCAAAGACCAATAGTGTTTCATTAATGAAGATACTCAGCACAATGACAAAAATTATATTTGTACCAGAAAAGTCAAACCAGCAAAGCAAGGATTTATAACTGGCAGCACTTGTATACCTCCATAATGGTTTTTCATTATATAATAAAATGTGCATATTACATTTATTACATTCATAAGTAGTACTCATTCAAAGCTGAAACTCTGCTATTTTTGACAAGGAATTACTTGCACAGCTTGGCTGCCTAGTCAAACTGCTTGCATGTTTTTCATAAGATGGTATCGAATTCCTCCTCCTCTACGCCAAATAAAATATCCACTGAGAGCTTAATATTTTGGTTGTACTGTCTCTTGCTGTCTGATGCAGTTACTGATTCAGCTGACTTTTGGATTGACTGGTATAAGCTGTTTCATCAAATATGTCAGTTACATAATACAATGCAAAGTAAAATATTCTGGATTCTCAAACTCATGAAGTATGGAGTAATACATGATATTTCAGATTTTCTAGAATATAATAAGCAGTTGGGTGTAACTGGGATTTATATTACTTTATTTTTTAATTTTTCCTGAATTTTAAAAGTAGAGCAACTTTTATATCAATTTTAATTTCACTTAAATGTTTATGATATTATATACATTTCATTTCAGCAATCCAATATAACCTTTTACAATGACAAAACCTGTCTTTTCCAATATGGTAGTCATTAGCCATATGTGGCTATTGAGCTTTGAAATGGGGCTACTGTGGCAGAGGAAGTAAAGTTTAATTTTAATTTGAATAGCTACTCATGACTAGTGTCTACCATATTAGATACCATAACTCTATCACCATTTTTATCGCTCTTTCTCCATTAATAAGATGATTAAACAAGTCATTACAATGTCCATTTTCTGTCCTGTAAATGTTACTTAGCTTGTCCAAACCAAAAAAAAAAAATCACTGAGAGAAATAAAGATGTCTGTAAATTCTTTGTTTAGTTTTAGGTTGACTTTACAAAATAAAGCTAGACTTCCTATAAATGTCAGACAAAAACCACTGAATATATCAACATTTTCTGTATCACATCTTTCAGAAAGTAAAGTATCTCATTACTTTTAATTAAAAATGTAGCTATAATCCACAAGACATTCTCAGAAACAATCACAAATTTGACCTTTAATACCATACAGAAAGACTGCTATAATTTGTAAGAACTAAAAATATTTCTAATAGCTTTAATTTGATCTATAAACCATGTTGTATATCTAGCTTTGGTCAAAAATCCATTTTAAAGGAAAACAGACATAATTAAACATCATTATGCTTTTGTTTTAAAATTTATGTCATTTATTTGTGCCTGGCTTATTCAAGACTTCTTTTTGGTTTTTTAGAAAAATATATGAGTTTCTTGAAATGATTAAGAGGAAGGGAAGAAAATACAATAAAACTGTCAAAAACCTAATGACTTCCCTACACATCTATTCCCTCTAAAGCTACGTAGTGAAAGAAGAAGGAACAACATTGTTAACACAGGAAAAAAGTAGTGACCCCATTCCTGGGGGATTAAGATTTAACATGAAAAAGTAGCAAGACTGGCAAAGTGCTAATATGCTATCAGAAAGACTAAGATTTTCTTTCCAAACAGCTATTTCTAATCAGCTTTGAAGAAGCTAAAATGGTGCCTTTCTATATGTGTTGAGGTGTAGAGGGTAAGACAGAGAGACCATCTTAAAAGGATGGGCCAGAGAGAAGCTACTTGTGCAGACTGAATCTCTAAACCATGTGAAGGCAAATAACCAGACCATCAATTATATAACCTAAGTACCTAGTTAATATAATAAACTAATATTATCTCTGAGAGAATTACAAAGCAAAGAAATCCAATTCTTGTCAAACATTACAGAGAAGCTCTTTGAAAATCTTTGGACAGTTGTAAAAAATAGAATAATTTTCATTGTCTCAAAGAATACTGACGGAAAACCATTCTCCTGTGGACTATAATTAGAATTTTACTTTGAAATAGAAGGAAAAATCTTACCTGTGATGTGCTATCAGCTGCTTTCTTATTAACAGAAGCATCTATTGTTTTGTTTGTCTGGTTTTCTGAGGAGTCAAAAAAAAAAGTCAGAGTCATTTTTAAAAGCACCTACAAAATATGAAAGGTTGTGTTGCTTTATATACAACAATTCATATAATTTTCTCCAGTTATTTTTTTGTCTGTCAACATGTCACGTACGTAAACGGAGTCTTTCACAGATCACTGTTACATCTTTCAGAAGGATGAATTCACAATAGGGATCAAAAAACTTGACAGACCCATTGACCCAGAAACTTTAACTCTATCCTAAGGAATATCTCAGGGAACAATTTAAGATGTGCATAACTTAAATGTTCTAACATGAGTGAATGGTTAAAAAATATATAATTCTTCCATACTATACACCTTTGGAGAAAAAAACAATGACATAGCAAAAAATATAAGAAAGTCCTTAGAAAAATAGTTACAAACACAGTGATTCCAAGAAAATACACAGGCATAGCCTCGGTGGTTCAATCACAGATGATTTTTCTTTTTTTATTCATTTTTCAATTAAATTGTATTGTTTGTGGTACACACACACACACACACACTGTACAGACATACATATGAGAGTCACTTCCGGAACAGCAGAGAAAATAAACCAACTATGTTTTTCTGCCTCAGTTTCTAAAGAGAAGGTATTAAATTTTATCAGATATCTTTAGCATCTACTAAGGTAATTATTTAGCCTTTCCTCTTTGGAAATGCAGCGAATTACGTTAACAGGAGTTTTCTAATACTGAAATAGCCCATCCTTGCTTTCTGTACATAAAAACCTTCTTGGTCAAAATATGGCATTCCTTTCATTTGCAAATCTTCAGAACACATATTGTGTAAATCATTTATTTTAAAAATAAATAAATAAAAACAGGAGATAGAACAATATATTTCCATATATACACATATAAACCTGTACATCAAAAAAATCAGGGTAAACATCTAACTGTTTAAAAATGGTTTTTCCAGGCTAGCAAAGTAAAAAGGAGGCCCTTACAATTTTTCCCTACAATTTCTCCCTATCTGAATTATCTTAGCTCTTTTTGTAGGAAGAATACAGTAAGATATTATTTAGTTTTTTAAAAAGATCTTAAAATTACTTCACTTATAATGAATCAGCATCTGTTTTGGACTGTGAAGTTCCCGAAATACTACCTAACAAAAAACTAACTCTAGGTTACTGATCCTACATTGCAGAGTATTAAAATACACTGATGACATTACCAAAACCTCAGCGATCCACTACCAAAGTTGTTTATATACCACGCTAGAATATATTCACTTGGATTTGAAACTCATTTTCATTTTCAAATGAAAATAAAAGGTAACTTTAGATGAAAAGTAGATGAGGGAGCTTCATTTTTCTTTTGTTTACATATTCTCATACAAAAAATTCCTCAAGATTCAGGAAAGACTTAGACTGCTTAATAAAAGTTTATATACATACATATTCACACACAGAAATATATATTTATTTTTAAAATAACTATGAGAGTTTCGTTATCCAGTATGACTCACTCTTTGACCTAACTGTCTCAGGGCTAGGAGTCAATTATTCACAGAACTGTAATAATATTCCTTAATCTAGATTTTCAAGTAATATCCCCTGCCCCTTTATTACAGACATTTTTCTTGGTTCTTAATGTAACATTTTACAGTTTCACTGCATCCTTCTTGTTTTCTTTTACTATAATATCTACTTTAGATGACTTCTGAAAGTAAAAAGTTATAAATCAATCTATGTATCAATAAAACTAATCAGGGTGTGAAATAAGAAATCGTACCTTGGAATCTTTCTATCATTTGGGAAACACCTCTATCTTGTTATTCTTAATAGATACGGTCACTTTTAACCAACATTGCATTTTTACCAGAGTCAACAAAGCGTTTTACAGGAGTGCCAATTAGTGTCCCTTAGTAGGTGCTGGACAACTGTTGTACGGAAAAAAATGGAATGCAAAACTTGTAAACCGTTTTCACACCACTTCTCATCTAAATCACTACAAGGGCCTCCTAACTGGTCTCGCTAACTCCATTTTTATCCCCTCCAAACCCTTCCCCTCCCTGTAGCCAGTGTTCATAAATGTCACACTCCTCTGCAAAAATCCTTTAACCTTACTTCCCACGTCTTCCCATGCATTATCTCTTACCTTTCCAGATCTCCCATATCCTCTCACAGAAACCTGCACTTCTTAATACTTATCACATTATAATGAATTACTCATTTAACAGCCCACATCCCTATTTGATTGTGAGCTTGGTGAGAATGCGACTATCTTATACATTTCTGTGTCTGCAGAATTTTAGAACAATACATGCGTTCAATATTTCAGGAATGAATGAAATTAGCCATAATTTAAGCCCTAAATTTCCAAGTAGTCTCTAGGATGATTTCTACTTTACAACAGACAGAAAAGAATGACTTACTAAAAGGGATATATATGAACTATAATAAAATATATATAAATACAAGTGATCTAGTTAGCATATGTTCTCATTAAGTCAATAATACCTACATAAGTACAAGACAAAAAATTGTAATCATATAACTAATTAATTTATCATATTAAGGAGGTATTAAAGTTTAGCTTCAACCTTCATATTCAGCCAAAATTTGCTCTCTGGCTTCAGTTAGTTTCCGGGAAGCCTAAACAGCTAAATGCCTACTTTAACATAATTTATGGCACTCCTGAAATTATACATGATCAAAGAAAGTATCATCTCATAGGATCTCAATCTAATTAATATTATGAACAACACACAAACAAAGCCTGTCATTTACATTTATAGTTAATACCTAATAATTTACTTTCAAATGTAAAGTAAGCGTTTCAAAGATAAGCGTTCTAAATAGAGCTTGAAATGAAGATTTCCTTAATATAATTTATATATTAAAGTACATATAAATGTGTTAAATATGCTAAAATGTAAAATTTTAAGTGTAAGTATAAATGTATATTATCAGAAAAGTAGAATGATGCACTATTTAATAATGATTGTGAAAACTATTAATTTTATATACAAAAATAATTAAGAATAATCAAGTAATTAAATACAAAACAGACTGACACATTACAACTAATCAAGTGCATTAGCTAGATAACAGGGGAAAATATACCCTTTCCGTAAACAAATATTCATAAAAATTTTGAGAACAGTAATGAAATTATACTATAATTTGATATGTGTAGAAGTATTTAGAGTACTAGCATTCGTAACATTAAACAAAATCTCTTGAGTTATTTCTTTCTTTTCAGGGCATGGTCTTTCAGGAAAAGTGCTATATTTAAGAATATATCTCACCTTGTGACTATGAATTAAAAACAATGTCAACTTAGGCTCAATATTTCTAAAGAGGAAAAGCTCCAAAATCACATAAAACAATGTCCATGATAAATCATCCTCCCCTTGACATATTAAAAAATACTGAGGATTAGAAAAATAAATTAGAGAAAAATGAACTAATCCCCCAAAATCTTAATCATCTAACCTCAATTAAAAGTAAGCATCTTTTAGTGTTGTAAACATGAATTAGAGTGTCTAAGGAATAATACGGTAGTAGATAATGCTAAAAAATATTGTTATTGTATTGTGCAAACACACATTTTAAATACTAATATTACTAATAATTGCATTTTTATATAAAATTTCAGATTTACTCTTATATCCCAGATGTTAATTGTATGAGGTGACTCTCAGCTGCAGTCCAATATTAAATTTGATCTGCCACTCATTTACTCTCTCAACAATTCTGTGAAATATCATCACTACTTTGTATGAGAAAACAAACTCACAGGGCAAGTACATGACTAATGGCTACATGAAGAAATTAGGGAAAAAAAAACCAAAGGCTTGTACATCTCACTTATAAAAGTAATTTTGTACTTTAGAATCTGTTTCTTATATTTCGTGGTCACTTACTATATCAATAAGACAGATACTATAGCAATTTCATTATACACTTGATGTCTACCCATTCTTGCCTGTCTTTTCAAGAGGAGTGGGAATAGATGTGGAGTCAGAAACGAAGACTAGCAAGTTCAAGAGTGCAAGCAAAATGCACACTTTCTAAGAACAAGGAAGATACAGTTTTACAGATTTTAAATACAAGAACAATCAAGTTTTCCTTTTTGTAATACTTCGAAGTATATACAAACATAATCATATGTCATATGGGAAAATATACAAAAGAGAAAACCAGAAGCAATCAAACATTTTGTAGTAAATTAGAGAGGGACAATTTTTAAAGTGTTCAAATTTGGAAGATGTGAGTCATGAATGTACAAAGGCATTTTCCAACTGGTTAGGGAAGATATCTGGTTTTTATTTTCCCTTTATAAACACATATTATGTCCTCTAGATACTTTAAAATAAATTTGCTCTATTCAGATATTCCTGACAAATGTATTATAAAAGCAATTCATAATGCTTGCTACAAAGCCTAAATGAAAAATTCACCCAGATTAGGAAAATTGCTAAAAGATCAACTATAAATGCTAACTTCTCACTCAAACTCTTTCAAATCCCATTTTAACAACATCATTTCTTTGAAAACCAAAAACTTACTAAAAATAATCTCTAGGATATTCTATTTACTCTGTTCTTTCAAAAATGCTAGCCACTTCCACACACACTCACCCACACACAAGTTCAATTACCTATAGGCCATTAACATGCTTGCATTTCTATTATTAAACCTACAGAGTGACTTACCAATTCTTGGGGTGGTAGTGCTGGTCTGCTCTGCCGAAGATGAAGTACTAAAAGCAGAAATTGGAATTTTCATCTGTATAGGACCTCGATTATTTGATGGACTATAGAGTCCTGACGGGCCTACTGTGGGTAAAGAAGTCCTTGTGGCTTGTACAATAGAGTGTGCTGTTGGAACAGCCTGTACAGCAAGTGTTGTTCCTAATGGTGCAGCACTGGCAGGAGAGTTCCTTTGAATACTAGGACTGGGCACAGAAGGAACGTTGTTTGGTTTAGTAGGGTTTGGCAAGGACGGCAAGGATACTGGATTTTTGGTAAGACCACTCACTGTAGGTGGGCTTTGCACAGAAATGAATTCAACGTTGCCAGATGGTTGATTGGTCACTAAAGTCCCTGGATGGCTCTGTAGGAGCTGAGGCTGGGAGGATACCGCAACAGGTACATGCAAAATCACTGGCAAAGGTTGTAAAGAGATTGTAGGTTGGGGATTTCCACTAGGCACCTGAGTAGTAGCAACTACTGTGGCTGTGTTAGGTGCAGGAAGAACTGACGGTGCTGTCAGAGAACTCGAAGTCACTGGAGTCTGCAATTTAGGTTGACTAGTGACAACTGCTGGAGGAGTGACAAGATTGGTTGAAGATACTATAGAAAGAAAAAAGAAGTTGCAGTTTAAATGGTTATCTTCATTTATAAGCAGGATAATATGACACAATACAAATTTAATGCATTGCAGTAGATATAGTAACGTCTTTCATGATGAAATTTTTTTCCAGATCTAATTCTGGAAATTCTTAGAATTAAATCTGTAGAAATATTTTCATAGCTATTTTTGGTACATTATGAGACTATCACATGTTAATGATTAATATGGAGAACAGCTATCTCAGTATCATAAGAGTCTGAAAATTACTATAATCACTTCAGAGTAACCAACTGGAAAAACAAATAAAAAAACACTGAAAACTTAGTAAAATTTTATAGATATTTTTGAAACTACACTAAAAACACTATAAATCCTTAGGACACTGGTAATATATATACTCAAAGAAAAAATCCATTAACAGTCATCACTATTAATGAATAACAGATAGGCTTTGTCATGGTATTTTATCATTTGGACCATGTGAAACTTGAATTTGAGGATCAAGTTTTATTGAACTGCCTGGGAGAGGAACTAGTGAGAGGAGGCTGCCTCTTTGATACTCTATTGGCATTTTATGATATGCAAAATAGCAGAATGAAGATGGGAGATGAATTAAGAAATGAGGAAGAAGGCCAAAGATGAGAGAAAATAAAGCTGCTGATCACTGGAGTCTTAAAGTAATTTTGGTTCAACTACTTGTGTTTATTCTCATTTGAACATGGTTACTAAGAGTAGCGAGTCTCAAAGTGTGGTCCAGGGGGATACCTGGAGGTTATGGAGACCCTTTCAGGGAGTTTGCAATGTCAAAACTATTTTCTTAACAACAATAAGACATTTGACTTTTTCACCATGTATGTATTTGTAGGGACAGGGAAAAGGCAATGGTGAGTAAAGCTTCTGATGCAGTACAAAAACCAAGGTAGCAGTACCAAAATGTCACTGCACTCTTTACCACCACATGTTCACAGTGAAAAACAACCAAACAAAACCAGTTCCATGTAAGAATGTCCATGATGAAGTAGTAAAAACGACCTATTTCATTAAATCTCAACCCTTCAGTATAAGTCTTAACATGCTGTGTGAAGACACAGGAAGTACACACTCATACAGCATTACTGCTGCACACCAAAGTAGAATGGCTGGCTAAAGAAAAAGAGCTTCTATGATTGTTTGAGTTGTCATCTGAGCTAACAGCCTTTTTCATGGAAGACTATCTATACTTGAAAGAATGACTTACAGACATACTGTGGTCGTTCATACTTGGGTAGTTAGCAAATCTCCTCTTAAAAATAAACCAAGTAAAGCAGTCACTTCACAGAAAACAACCAACAATGTTTATTGGCAATAGTAAAATTAAAGTTTTAGAAAGAAAAATTAGAACTTTGGAAAAAGCTTCTATTTGCCACTGAGAGCATGACAGTTTCCCAAACTTTAGACTTTTAGACTCAACAGTGAAATAAATGAATGTGATTCTTTAAAAAAATTAATGAGATGTCTCAAAATTTGGAAGATTTAGATAAATCAGTGAATATTTTCCAAATGATCTAGGAATGATATTCATAAAAGATACATCCAACTATAAGACAGAGGAATGAATTTAATAAAAAAATTTGAAAAGTTAATTGGTATGGTTTCAGATTCCACTTTACAACAAACCTTTAATAAACAACAAGTTGATTGTGTCAAAGAAAAATATCCACAATTCTCTAAAAGGGCTAACCCTTTTCCAACTACAAATTTGTATGAAGCTGAATTTTCTTCATATACTTCAAATTGCATAAATCAAAACAACAAATTGTAACAGCCTGAATGCATACATACATATAAGAATCCAGCTATCTTAGGCCCTCTTAAGTTTTTAAGCAAGGTATGAAAAGGATTTATAAAAATCTAACACTTTTTCCTTAAATTTTTAAGCTTGGAAAATAGTTGTTTTTCATTAAAACATGTTATGTGAATTACATAATGCTTTTTTAATATTTTTGAATGAATAAATATTTAACATTTTTGTTTTAATTTTTACTACAGTAAGTATCAATTAATATAACCCACAAAAACAAAAGCTTTTGGGGGTTCTTAATCATTTTATAAGTTTATACAGGGATATGGAGACCAAAAAGTTTAAGAAACACTATAGTGGAGATTTGAATTTCTATACTTGTAGGCATATTTGTAATCCTGATATTTTAATAAAATTTTTTACTTAGCACTCAATTTTAGACCAATATGCTCAGTTTCTTAGTCCCTCTGAACCTCAAAAGCATGTCATAAAAGAGAACCAATGCCTTCAGTTCCTGGGAAAATGTATTTCGGTGTTGAAGAACATTACCTGTATTCACAGGGGTTTGAAAGGATGGTGGTGCACTCTCGCTTACATTTCTTTTGGACTCCAGCATCTGTCTCACTGTGGTTACATTTCTATGAAATATACATACACAAATAGTCAATGGATATGCCATTCTAGGGGACATTGATTTATGTATAGAGAAATCAGTGGCTTATAGGAAAAAGAGTGGTTAGGCGTGGGTATTGTAGCACTAAACTAGAGCATAGGGAAGAGTCTTCCTCCTACATTTTAATGTCCTCAGTACTTCTACCTGCAAACCACATGTAGGTCTTAATATCTGCAGACATTAGTTTTTATCACCCCTGACCAAAGCATTTCTCCATTATTTGAGAGAATATTATTTAGGACAAGTGGTTAAAGAAACCTGCAATGACCAAAGAAAGCCTATAATAATTAACAAAACCAATATGCATAAACAAGTATGACAAAGCAAAATAGAAGGAAACATACTTAGTCCAGTATACAAAACATATATCTCTACATAAATACATAGGACTACATTCCAAGATTGTTATGGAAAATAAAGAAAAATCAGAAGCTTGTCCTGTTATTTAAAAACTTGACAGACTTGTTATTTAAAACTCTTGTGCACTGTTGGTGAGAAGGTAAATTGCTACAACCACTATGAAAAACAGTATAGAGATTCCTTAAAAAATTAAAGATAAAATTACCAGATGATTAGGACTAATTAGGACACTAATTCAAAACAATATATGCACTCCCATGTTCACTGCAGCACTTTTTACAATAACAAAGATATGAAAGCAACATAAATGTCCATCAATGTATGAATGCATAAAGAAACTGTGGTATGTGTGTATAAATGGAATATTATTCACTCATAAAAAAGAATGAAATCTTTCCACTTGCAACAACACAGATGGACCTCAAGGGCATTATGCTAAGTGCAATTAGTCAGACAGAAAAAGATAAATACCATATGATCTCTCTTAAATGTGGAATCTAAAAATAAATAAATAGGCCAAGCTCATAGATACACAGAAGAGACTGGTAGTTGCCAGAGGCAGGAGGTGGTGGATGGGAGAAATGGGTGAAGTGTTTTTATTTTTTCTTCAAGTTTAAGTAAATTTAATTAAAAACAAACAAAAAAAAAATGGCAGAAAAAGAGGATAAGATAACAAAGAAAAAGAAGTGACAAAGAGACTGTTCATAATTCTTACCTGTAGGGCACACTGTTATTGCTGTTGACATCAACCACAGACTTCCCTGGTGAGACAGGTGGATTTGGTGGATTCTGGGGGACAAAAATACAATGTAAAATAAAACTCAAAACACAGAAATCTTTGAAGATGTAACTTTAATCCTTTCAATATACTATCTGTTACTTCTGTAATATAGTGAAAAATACTGTTAGTTGAGACAAGAATTTGAATCTTGGTGTTGCCAATTATTAGTTATGCTATAAGCAAATTACTTATTCTATTGAAACAGCTGCTTATCACATGAAAGATGAATATAATAATGCCTACACCTCAGTTTTTTGAGATGAATAAATAAAGAATGTAAAAACGGCTTACATGCTTTAAGGGTTCAACAAATACTAACAATATGAATATAAAGAATAACTGGACACACTCACACAATAATTATCTAATGAATCCCTACTATGTATCAGGCACAGCAGGGCACAAGATTACCACAAGAAACTCAAGAAGCAAGGAGCATATTTATTCTTCCCCAGAAGTAGTTGATTACCAATTAAGTGGTGTCTTAGGCCTCAAATCAAATTACTTCTACGATTTTTGTTTAAAAACTATTTGCCACCATGTCACATAATTTCATAAAAAGATGTCTCAATTCTAAACTTAAATATCAACTAACTTCAACATTTTTCCCCCCAAAAACAAGGAATATAGAAATGAATGCTAACATCTACATGTTAATTACCATTATTTGGGCCTCTATCATTAATGACACTATCATTATTCATTACATAAATTGAGAAAAATAAATAAAATAACTCTGCTCAGGAATTAATTAAGTGTAATAATACCACATGTTAAACTGAAGGTGATAAGTGCTTAGGATCACATCAAACAGATGCCACTATTCACTCCTCTCTTCTCAACAACAAGTAGATCTTGCTGATTTTTATAGGCTAAAAGGGTAATTTTAACCAAAAAGAATAGCATTATACTGGTTATATGTGTAGAGGTGACAAAAGATTGAATTAAGAAAAACTGCTCTAACTACTTAAAATCTGTGGACACAAAGATATTTGAAACAAATAGAAAAGCAAAATAACAGTGCAGTGTCAATGGAAAAAGTTTTTAAAAAAGTATTTGGGGAAAGGAATGCATCTTCAAATAGGTCTTTGAGTAATTAGTACACACAAAATAGTTAAGGTAAAAAATACTTCAAAGAGAAAACAGAAAAAAGAGGAGTAAAGCATAAAACAGAAATAAATACAATTGCCTTAGAACCTGGTATGGAGTCATAAGATGCAGGACCTTAAACACTACTGTGTGCTGACATCAGAAAGACAGAACACTAGGAATCCCCACAGCCCCTTCCCTCACGGAGTCAATGATATAATAACATACAGATCAAATTTCCTTTGTGAGAATTCCAGAAACCAGTTGAAAGGTTATAGCACTCCAAGTGAGAAGACAGCCAAGAAGCAGTGCACTGCAGTGGGCAAGAAGTTCTGCTGCACTTACATGCCAAACCCCATGATCCTCCCCACACATCACAGCACAATCAAGAGAAAATTCCCCACTCGAGGCTTCTACATCAGGAAGGAAAGAGAAGAGTGGAACTTGCATGCAACATTCCGGCTTTTGGGGCAACTACCCAAGGCATTAGTTCCTGTCTTACCTAACCTGGAGGAAGCAGTACACGCTGAATGTCTTTGGGTGGGAAAGAACAAAGGCAAGTCTATTGGCTTGGTACAGCACCAGAAAAATAACAGCAACACAGACAGACAGCAGAGGGACATCCCAAACCACTGCTTGCAAAACCAAGACTGAATTATGAAAGACAGCTGGGGGAGCTCCCAAGTAGAAAGAGAAAAACTGCTTCAGATGGGAGATTACAGGCACAAGCTCACAGAAGATGAGATATTGAAAAGGTTTGAGAGGCCCCCAAAGTATCTACTGGGGCTGACTAATGAAGATCATCCTCTGTACAAAGATATTCCAAAGAGACACGGAGAGGTGGCAATTTTTTTAAATGTGCAAATTTCAACAAAAGAGAACTAGACTTACAAAAAAATGGAAATACGGCCCAATCAAAGCAATCTATTTCCAGGAACTGACCCTAAAGAAACAAAGATCTATGAATTATCCAAAAGAGAATTGAAAATAACCAACAAGAAGTTCTCAATGAGACAAAACAGAATACAGAAAACTAAACGAAATTAGGAAAATGACGCATTAAGAAAATGAGAATATTAATAAAGAGATAGAAACTATAAAATAGAACTAACAGAATTCTGGAACTGAAGAATACAATCAGTGAATTGAAAATTTACTAGAGAGGATCAACAACAAACTGTATCGAGTATAATAAAGAATCAGTGAACTTGAAAACAAGTCATTTAAAATTATCAAGTTACAGGAACAAAAAGAAAAAGGACTGAAATAAGTGAAAACAGCTGAATGGATTTATGAGACACCACTGGGTGGACCAACACATGAACATGGAAGTCCCAGAATGAAAGAAGAGAGAAAACAGGCAGAAAGTCTGCTTGAACAATGGCCATGAATAATGGCCAACAACTTTCCAAATCTGAGGAAGAAAACTGACATTTAAATTCAAGAAGCTCAAAAACCTCCAGCTAGGATAACTCAAAGCAACCTTCAATGAGAAACAACACATTCAAGCTGTCAAAAGTCACAAATAAAGAATTTTGAAAGTAGCAAGAGAAAAGTGACACTCAAGGCAGCTCCCCAAAAACTCAGTGATTTTCTGAGTGGAATCTTAGCAGGCCTCAGGGAGTGGGATGATATATTCAATATGCTTGGGGGGAAAAACCCCTGCCAAACAAGATTATTATATCCAGCAAACCTTTCACTCAAAAATGAAGGCAAAATACTGATTTTCTCAGGTAAATAAAAAGTTGAAGGGAGTTTATCACCATTAGATTTGCCATACAGGAAATGTTAAAAAAGAGTACTTGAACTGGAAATGAGAGGACACTAGATACCAAGTTGAACACACACAAAAATATGGAATTCTCTGGTAAAGATAAATGAACAAATACAGAATCCTAGATTACTGTAAAGATGGTGCACAAATCATGGTTAGTTCTGGAACAGAATTTAAGCACTAAAAATAACTGTAAATCTATGCTAAACAAGACACAATATAAAAAGATATGTAAGATATCAATAACATAGAGTGGGGTGAAGCTGTAAAGAGGAGATTTCTTAGATGTGACTGAAGTCGTTACCAGTTTAAAACAGTGGTAACTTTAGGATAGTTTACGTAATCCCCATGGTAACCGCAGAGAAAATACCTAAAGAAGATACATAAAAGAAAATGAGAAAAGAATTACACATTTTAAGTAAAAAAAAAAAAACCCCACACACAATGTAAGCAAAAAAGGAAAAGAAACAAAACACCACCAAGATGAATACAAAATAATTAACAAAATGGCAATAAAAAGTCCCTCCCTACAGTAACTACTTAAAATCTAAATGGTTTAAATTCTGCATGGAAAGCCATACACTGGCTTAATAGATACAAAAACAGGATGCTGTCATACACTGTAAACAATAAACACACTTTAGATATAAAGACACACAGGCGGACAATACAAGAATGGAAAAAGATATTCCATTCAAATGGTAACCAAAAGAGAGTAGGGGGTGACCGTACATACATAGGACAAGAGATCTAAAGTAAAAAGCTGTCACAAGAGACAAAGAAGAACTTTATATACTAATAAAACCAGCTATAACATTTATAAGTAAATATGCACATAACATCAAGGCCCCCAAATATACAACACAAAAGCTGGCAGAACAGAAGCAGAAATAGACGGCAACAAAATAATAGTAGTAGTCTTCAATACATCATTCTATATAATGGTTAGGTAAATCCAGACAGAAAATGATAAGGAGACAGGAGAACAGAACAACACCATAGAATAAATGGACAAAATGGACGCACACAGTAATTTTCACCAAACAACAAAAGAATAAACATTTTTTTCAAATGTACATGGAACACTCTCCAAGACAGGACATATATTAGGTCACAAAACAAGCATTAACAAATTTAAATGAATTAAAATTATACTAAATATCTTTTCTGACCACAATGGAAAAGGACTAGGTATCAATAATAGAAAGAAAAGGGAAAAGTCAAAAATACATAGAAATTTAAAAACTCACTTAAAAGGGACGTGACATCAGCATCATGGAAGAATCTGTTGTTTCTAGTCTCTCCCCACTAAGGTGCAACTAAACAGACATTCATTAACCAATAGAGGATTCCCTCAAAAGCAAAATAGGATGTCTGAGAGATCCATGCAGCCACACATCTGAAAGTGGGGGGACTGGATCCCCAGGAAGCAGTGGAAAGAGGTGAGTGGATCCCTCCCCTTCCTCAGTGGCAGCAATCTAGGTGGCAGGTCCTCACACGGTAGCAAGCATGACTGTAAGAGGAGGCAGGGAGCAATGAGGCCTGTGCATGAATGTTTTCAGTTTAAAAGAGATGCAGCCTAGCCAAGGGAGCACATGCCATGCCACAGTAGCCCCCATACATGGGATCGCTCTCCACCGAGTAGAGAGACTCAGCCCCCACTAAGGAGCCACCAACAAGTGCAGCAGCTCAGGCAAAGCACCTATGAGTGCAAAGCAGCCTGCATGCACACAGGAAAGTGCCCCTCCTCTCCCACTTAGCACACTAGGTTGGCCGGTCTGCTGCGAAGGCAGCAGTCCTGTACCAGAGCGCCTGCAAGTTTCTATGTGATTTGCCAAGAGGCTGCGGCCAGCGGGCAAACACAGACAAGCCCTGCTGGCAAAGATTCCAGCAGAGGTTGCAGGTTTGGAAAACAGAGCTTCCTTCCCCTCCAGAGGTGGCAGGAGAAATCTGTGACCTGATACTACTACAAACACACCAGCAAAGGATCAATTCAGTAAACACCACAAAAAACCACAGTAACATTTCACAGCAGAAGGCAAATGACAACTCTTCAGAAACCAATCCTGAACTCACAAAAATTTACATTCTAAATGAGAGAGAACTCAAAACAGTTGACATAAAGAAACTCAACACGTTACAAGA